AGCACCACTTCCAGCTTTTATCTTTTTGCTTATGTGGTACTGAGGAATCGAACCCAGGGCCTCAGGCATGCAAGGCAAGTGCTCTAACACTGAACCACCTTCCCAGCCCATCCATACAGTATTTTTGCAATAAAAAATATATATGAAAAGAAAGTTTGCCAGACTCTACCTTAACCAATGGCTACGTACAGTGTCATGCACTTTTTATCCCCTTTATATAGGGGAGCAAATTGCCAGGCACTGTGGCACTGTCCTGTCATCTCCAGTGACACAGTGTGTCATAAATAGAATATTTATATCATCTCCAGTGACACAAGTGGAATCATCACAGCTCAGATATAGAGAAAGAATATACCTTGAAAATAACCAATGCTAAATGAGGCTGGAGGCATGATTCAAGTGGTAGAATGTCTATCTAGCAAGAGGCCCAGAGTTTATCCCCAATACACACACACACACACACACACACACACACACAAGAAGTCCTCTCCTTCCTGAATTATGGAATAGAACCAACCTTTCATCATTTATTCTCTGAACTTGTCAACTTGTGCATGAGATGGTTGATAAGCTATCTCAAGCTGACAAGTGTGATGAAGAATTGGTTGAATGAAGAATATCAGTTGAATGAAAACTATTGGCAGAGAGCTGTGGCATTGGAGCCAAGTCTGGAGGAAGAGCAGAGCAGGTGGGACTGAGACAGGGATGAGAAAATGCCTGTAGACAAGAGTGGAAGTATGGTGTGCAACTTTTCCTTTAGGGTGATAAAATTCAGAGTATGGAAATCAAGAACAATTAAAAGATAATCAGCATCATACATATACATTATATATATATATATATATATATATATATAATATATATCACATTTGCATGCCTGCTTTCTCCTATCTGGAGTTTATTATTTGTTCTTTAAAATTTAGCTCATGCAGCTCAGTGCAGGTGGCTCACTACTGTAATCCTAGCTACACAGCAGGCTGAAATCTGAGGATCCTGGTTTGAAGCCAGCCCAGGCTGGAAAGTCTATGTGACTCTCATCTCCAGAAAATTACTCAGAAAAAGCTGGAAGTGGTGCTGTGGCTCAAATGGTAGAACATTATCCTTGAGTAAAAGAAGCTCAGGGATAGTGCCTAGACTCTGAGTTCAAATCCCAGGATGGCCCCCCCCAAAATTTTTTTCATGCCTTAACTTCTTTAGGAAGTCTAGCCTGTGCCTTGTGCTCCCCCCAGCCTGGGGTTGATACCCTTTTCAGCTTCCATAAAGCTAGGTGCCCATTTCCAGTTAGGGATGGAAGAGCTAAATCTGCTCCTGAAATAGGGAATATCTATTTTGAGCACACTGAGTTTGAAGGAGCTATAAGATTTGTTAGTATTAGAAGATTCTGCTCCTCTGTTATCTTCTCTTTCCTATCTACTTAGGGCAAGGGTCCTGTTATCCTGACTGATCTAGTTCACTATCTTGTACTGACAGACAGGGACACTGTATGTGTCCTAAATTCTGACCAATATGCCAAATATGTTCATGGAAATTTAGGACAACTTGTTGACCTCAGTCCTTATACTTGGAAGGAGAAGATTCAAGCAAGATGTGACTATAGTAAAGGTGATAGGAAGGTTTATTAGAGAAGAAATATGGAAGAGGATGAGTGCACATGACATAGACATGTTACAGGAAGACAGTACTTTAGCCTATCACTTCCATCTCTACTCCATTACCAAGCTTGGCCCTGGGTTAAATAGTGAGATATTGACTCCATAAAGATAACTTTCTTATAGGTAGATCTCATCTCTCTCCCTCTCCCTCTCCCTCTCTCTCTCTCCCTCTCCCTCTCCCTCACCTCTCTCTCTCTCTCCCTTCCTTCCTTCCTTTCTCTTCCTTTCTCCTCTTCCTTTCTCCCTCCTGCCTTCTCTTTCTTTCTTTCTTTCTTTCTTTTCCTTCCTTCCTTCCTTCCTCTCTTTCTTCCTTTCTCTCTTTATTCTTTTCTTCCTTTCTTTTGTGCCGGTCCTGGGGCTTGAACTCAGAACCTGGGCACTGTCCTTGAGCTTCTTTGGCTCAAGGCAAGTGCTCTACTTGTGGCCTTTTCTGAGTAGTTTATTGGAGATAAGAGTCACATGGACTTTTGTCCCTGGGCTGGCTTTGATCTTCATCTCTCAGATCTCAGCCTCCTGAATAGCTAGAATTAGAGGCATGAGCCACCAACTCCCTGTTTCCTTCCTGTTTCTTTTTTTTTTTTTGGGGGGGGGGTCCGGTCATGGGGCTGGTCGTGGGGCCTGAACTCTGGGCCTGGTCACTGTCCCCAACTCTTCAGCTCAAGGCTAGCACTCTACCACTTGAGCCACAGCGCCACTTCCAGCTTTTTTTTCTGCTTATGTGGTGCTGAGGAATCGAACCCAGGGCCTCGAGCATGCAAGGTAAGCGCTCTACCACTGAGCCAACTTCCCAGCCCTTCCTTTCTGTTTCTTATAAGACCTCTGTGCCAGAGATTTAGGGTTCCATCTTTACTTCCTCATTCTTTTGCCTTTTGTACTTCCTCAGTCTTTTGTGGATGTGTTTCTCAATTTATCTAGCCATCTGCAAGTTGTATAGGCCACTGTTCACTGACTTTTAAAAAAAATTAACTCTATCACTATTATTCTTCAGCAGGAGGCTGAATTTGGTATGGGAAAGGGGGAACTTTGGAGGCGTATCCCTCAGCCAGGTACCCTGACTCAGTGTTCAGCTTCACTGGACGTGTGCTCACTAGGCACTTTGTCTCCTCCTTGACAATTGATGCTGTTAGGCGCAGCCCCTTGCTGGGAAATTACAAAAGGCAGAATGATAAACCTAATTACACTGCAAATTTCTACCACTTCCATGTTAATGCTACCAAAATGCATTGCAACTCTCTCCCATCTTGAAGGATAAGTTCTTTAAGACACTATCATTGATTTTTGTATATTCAGGGCTTAATATAATGTCTAATACATACTAGATAATTGAAAAATGTTAAATAAGCCAGGCACTGGTTGCTTATACCTATAATCTTAGCTATTGAGAAGGCTGAGATTATATATAATACATAGCAGAAAGTTTTAGCATGGGATAAGACTCATTTTCTTCAATGTAGAAATTGCATGTAGGAATATGATATTAATTTTAAACTATGCAATTCAGTTCCTAGAGGAGAAATGAGAATAACTTTTAGCTGAGTAAGTTAGCCTGCTTCATAGTGTGTGAGTAGGTTATCATCCCATTCTGTGTACTTTTACCTCAAGTTCTGAGTGGTGGCCTAAATAGATGTGTGAACCTCAGCTAGTTGGTGTGGTACCCACTAGTGACATGTGACTAGTCAAATTCATCAGAAAGGATGAAACATAAAACTTGGTTTCTTATTTCCATTATTAGATCAAGTACTCAAAACCCATCTGTAGCTAGTGGAGATTATATTCAACAGAGGAGATTATATTGAATGTTCTGTGGGACATCTGTCCCAAGAGTAACACGGATCCTACCTGAATGGGGGGGGGGAAGGGTTGAAAAATATTTCTAAGCCAGTGGCTCGTGCCTATAACTCAGGAAGCTGAGGGTCAAGGTTCAAAACTAGCCTGGGCAGGAATGTCTATGAGACTCTTATTTTTCAGTTAACCAGCAAAAAGCTGGAAATAAAGGCGTGGCTCAAGTTGTAGAGCATCAGCCTTGAGCAAAACAGCTAGGAGAGAGTGCTCAGGTCCTGAGTTCAAGTGTGCTCGCGCACGTGCACACGCACACACACACACACACACATCCCAAATAGCAATTCCTTGATCAATATTTCTAAATGCTTCTAACCTTGTGTGTTACATAAAGCCATATATCTACAGTTTTGGTCACTATAAATATTTATAACTTTACATCTTTCACAACCATTGCTTTAATGATACTTGTGAAACAAATCCTGAATCTGCCTGAGGAAAACTATAATTTCATAAGTAAATTCTCTCTATTGAAATCACAGATTTTTCCAGACAGCAGAATATACTTGCGAATGCATGATAGTTTATTTAAACACACACACACATATATACATGATGACAAAGGAAAATGTTAGGGAATTTAGCACAAGGCTGCATGCTCTGGTAGGACAGGTAGACTCTAGTTTTACAGGATGAAGTGTGGGTTGAAAATGGGTGGGGCCTGGAGAGTGAGTTTTATTTCTGATCACCACATGGAAGGTTCTTCAAGCCTGTAAGACATAAAAAAGAAAACGTGTAAGGGAAGCTGGCCTTCTTCCTGGGAGGCTCAGAAGAGTGGCGCATTCAGTTCTGAACTGCAAGATGATCAGAAACTACGGGAAATCTCCTGTTGGCACTCTAAATAAGAGGCCAGTGGAAAATGGGGGCAGGAGACAGCACAGGATGCACAAAGACCCAGGATAGTGGCTTTCACTCCTGTGAACAGGAGTCTCTTGAGCTAATCTCTGAGGGAGCATTTAAAAGGAATGGTACATATATATCAAAGGCACCCAGGAACTTTATGATATTTTGAAGATCAAAACTAAAAGCATCACATGAAATTGTAACAAGAAAGTTAGTGTTACTCAATTCTGAAAGGCACCCAGGAAATTTATATGATATTTCTAAAGATCAAAACTACAAGAATCACATGAAAGTGTAACAAGAAAGTTAGTGTTACTCAATTCTGAAAGTGCTTCTGTTGTTTCCCTCCAATTTCAATGTAGACTACAAAAGGGCCCTTGGCAACTTCAAGGCTATCAACTTTTGTCTCCTTCTAAGTGTATACGACTGAGCCTGTCAATCAAGGTGCAATTAACTTTATTTCAGGCACTGATTGGGCTAGTGCAGGCCATAAAACAAAGGCAGCAGTAGAGGTCTAAGTGGGCCTGGGACATTCTTTTCCTAAGCAGAAACAGACAACTCTAACTTTCTTGTGGCAAATATGTGCATCAATGAACTACAAAGATGTACTTGCTGCTTAGTTTTTTTTTAAATCCTTATTATTATGTACCTGTTTCTCTTGCATTAGCTCTTTGTATCAGAACTTGTTCCTTCAGGGACAAGAACCCTAGAGATTTAGTCCAAGAAAACAAATCTGTCAATTCTGTGCCTTCCACTCGGCTGACCATTTTACTTAGGGAATTGAAGGGAGATCATGATGATCAACCTTCACTTCTCACACATGGATTCTCCACAGGGAGAAGCTCCATGAAGAGCAACCTTCCAGTCACACACACTGAACAAGAGTGCTAGTGACCTCTTCTGGGGAACTTAGTTCTTGATGTCCTCAGGCTCTGCATTTCGGTCCCTCAAGCTACTTATGGGGAACATTACAGTGGTCCTTGTGCAATGTGATTCTACTGTGGGAGAGGCAGGAAGTAAGGACAGAATAGCTGGCATTGGTGGATATGAACATGGAAGTGCATTAGAAATAATTTGCCGCACTCCTTTCTCATCCAAGAGGCTCCAAGATCATCCTGGTCCCATGATGAATATTTCAATCTTTGTGGTACCTCTTCCTAAAACAGAGCTATGCTCCAAGAAAGCCCACAAGGCTACAGAAAAGCTCCTAAGAACCATTCAACATTCATTCATTGAATGTAATAAATTACAGTATTGAGTGACCAAAGTAATCAGGACCATCTATTCAGCTATAGCTTTGTATGGCATCAGGAAGGCTGGAAGCAAACATATAAGGAAAGTGTCCTAGGACTTCTAGATATCTACCCAGTGGGCAGACTCTTCACATTCAAACTGCAAAGCTAGGCAGTTAGCCACTTCCAGTTAGAGTTGGGGGCTCACTCTATGCTTCCCCGGATGTAATAACATTAGAAAATCTTTGCAGAATCATTTCCAAACTAAAAGTCACATATAGTGAGAATTTGCATAGAAGCACCAAATAATGTGTGGTAGAAAAGATTCCACCATTGAAGTTTAGAGGTTAATCCATGAGCACATGAAGAGAAAGGTTTTTTTCTGCTTTTCCTTCCCATTCCCATTCCTGCTCCAGTCAATCCTTCCCACATCTTGGAATGCCTCCAGCCCCAATGCTTCCTACCAGCAGCCCACCACCTTTCTCTGACCCCTCCCACCAGCGCTACCCCTCCACCCCGAGTCATTTGACTTCTGCAACATGTCCCCACCACTAGCCTTGTCATACCGAGTTCTGGGGACGTTTTCTGTGCTTTCTCTCATTAAGAGGTCTGAAATCAGTGTCTCAGGGCTAGATCGCTTTCCATATCTGAAAACAGTAAAAGAGAGAGAGAGAGAGAGAAGTCTTTTAAAGTTTTGAATAGCCATGGAAACCCTTAGGATAAAAAGAAGAAAGTTTCCTATTTGAGATGTTAAATCTAAAAGCTATTCGTCATGTTGCTTTGCCAACATGAAATCTTGGCATAGGAAACATACATCATCAAATACATTATCATTAGTGTGACTTAAAATGTTACATATATTTGAATTGGCTTGCATGCATAATAATTTAGCATATTTATTGGTACTCAACCAAAATTCCTAACCAAAATCCTGCCCTTTTAAAAACATCACCAATAATACATAGATAGATACACATTTAAAACTAGATGAAAGGAAATTAAAACACTGAAGTGTGACTTACAATGTTTTCATAATTAGCTGATTGGCTATAGTTCTATGACACATTGCAGTTTAAGCCTTAACAAGGAGAGCAAACAATATTCCAGAAACAGTCTTGGGGGGAACCCCACATGATATTCAAAACCCACCTGTGTCTTTGAATTCATCTGCTCATTCGCAAAGATAAAATCACCCCCCATCCTTAAATCAGAGCATTTGTGAAAATCCATTGTGAATGTGAATCGCAAATGTTTTGAGGGGAACAAAGGAACACACAACTGAAAGTTGCTCCCATGGAAATGTAGTCCCTACAGCGACACAGGTCGTGGGTCTTATATTTTCCATTTATCTTTGAAGCAGGAAAAACTAAAAGCCTCCCTCGAGGCTGTGGGTTCAACCTGCTCTATGAGTATAAAGGAAATAAATTATGTAAGTGTCTTTCTTTTCCTCCTATGGCAGGACGTAGTAGGGAAAATAGACATGCATGCAAGGTTACATCTGCCTTGGAGGATAGGCTCCTTGACATGGCTAACAGTGTTTGACAACTCTGCTAAATTATATTGTCCTCTTTCTCAGGAAAGTATTGCTCTCGGCAGTCCCTTTGTTTACAAATGGAAACTTAGCCAGGCATAGATGGATTAACTAATGGGTACAACACCTGAACAAAGTTGGCAGGGGGCATATTCTGACTTTAATCAAGCACAACTCAGTCCTGATTTTTGGAAAGAATCCCTATTTTTGCCCCTTTGTTGGGACTCAAGGAGAGCCAAAACAAAACATCCTCTATCATCTCCCACTGGCTCTCCTTCATTTGTAAGATTTCTCCAGTTTTTGGAACTGCAATTTCAGATTGTAAGCTACTGCTTCCACTTAGTTATTCTGTTTTTCAGCTGATCTGCTCAGCTTAACACTCCTAATTCACTTATGCTCTACTGAGTTAAGAACTGGCAACTATTTTCTCTAATTTTCTAGAAAAGAGTCTACCTCAGGAATGGAAGATTTGCATAGTCATAAATCCACATCCAGGACAGCAAGGCTCACTGCTTTCTCTCCCTTCTCTAATTAATTCGGGATTATTCTCTTCCACAATTCTTTAACTTGAAAGCTTAAATCTCAAATCTGGTTTCTCATTAGAATTACCCAGGGAGCTTTAAAAACACAGTACAGCCCAGGCCCACCCTGGAGGATCTAATTTAATTGGCAGGGGAAGAGGCCAATCTCAGTCTAGTTTAAAAGCTCCCCCAGGTGATTGTAATGGAAATCAAGAGTGGAGAAACACTAGTATAGGGCTGAGTTTCTCAATGTTGGCACTGCTGGCATGTGGAACTAGGTAATTTTCTGCTGTAAGGGACAGGGCTGGGAATTCTAGAGTGCTTCATAGCATCCCTGTCCTCTATATACTAATGCCAGTAGTGCCCAGCTCTAACTATGACAAAGGAAAGTGTCTCCCAATATTTGAACATGTCCTAGGGAGCAAAAAGTCACCTGCCTAGAACCACAGATTTAGGGAAGTCCTATAAGCAAAATGCCATAGACTGCTGGGCACTGATGGCTCACAACTATCATCCTAACTATTCAGGAGGCTAAGATCTGAGGATCTCAGTCCAAGCCAGACCAGGCAGGAAAGACCATGACACTCTTATCTCCAATTAAGCAGCAAAAATCCAGAAGTCGAACTGTGGCTTAATTAAGAGAGCTAACCTTGAGTAAAAAAGCTAAAGGACAGTGGCCAGCCCTGAGTTCAAGCCCCGATACCAGGACACACACACACACACACACACACACACCACACACACACACTATCTTAGATTGGAGCCTTCAAAAGCAGTTAACAGGAAGCATTTAGAGTAACGAGAATACTATAAACAGATTGAGCCAGGTACTGGTCATTCATTCTTATGGTTCAAAGCCAATCTGGGCAGGAGAGTCCATAAAACTCTTATCTCCAATTAAGAAGTGGAGTTGTAGTTCAAGTGGTAGAGTACTAGACTTGAGCAAAATAGCTCAGGGACAGCACTCAGGCCTTGAGTTCAAGCCTCAGGACAAGCACCAATCCCCTCTCCCCCCCCCCCAAAAAAAATCACCATAGACCGAATAGAAGGAGGAAGAAAGAAAATGTAATCCAGAAATCCACACTTGCCAAACAAATGACAGTGATTTCCAAAGCATGTGTGGGCATCTTTGGCAGGAAGTCCTCATGGATACAACAGAGAAGAGCAAAGAGCTTCTGATAGTTTCTAAGAAGGAATTTACATGAAGATAAAACAGGAAACTATTTCAGGACCAGCTCATTCCCATCTAACTGAATTTCTTCCTATGAAACTCAAAGAAATCTTGCCCTTTGTTTTTCCTTATTAAAGATGTTGGATCACATTGACTGCTGGTGGTGACCACATCCAAGGATATTCCATATAGGGCTTCAATTCTACAACCATTGAAAGGCTTTCATGAAAAATGCTTGGTTTCAGAGTCTGTAAAAAGGAGATAAGTACACTCATTTCGAAGTTGTGAAGTAAAGACTGAATTAGATGCCTAGGAAAACCATTTTGAAATTCAAAACTTCTTACAGTGAAAACCCTTTGTAGTAATCATGTTTACAAAAATGAGTTCTACCATATCTTATTCTATAGCTAAATCACTAACAAACATCTTCCAAGGGGGGGAAGAATCACGCAATATGTGTTCATTTGTTCTTTTCTCTGGCTGAATGATAGCATAAGCAAAAATGGGAAGCAATTAACTTTCCAAGAAGTCTACTAGGATTTAAAATTCTTTGTTTGTTGTTGCTAAAATGACCAGATTTCATGATATTATAAGCCAATAGTATCTAATTCTTTATAAATTGGGACTTTCTCTTGAGGCTTTCTGGGGATGCTGCAAAGCTTCATAAAAAAACAGAAAGGGAACTTTATTTTAGAAGTATAAAATATCCTCCTTTGCATCCTCTCCAACCATTTTATGCTTTGGAAACTGTAAAAATATTGTTTAAAACCTCCCAAATAAATCCCAGTACTTTACAACAGACAGCTGAAACATGAAATAACATTAATAATTCAAAATTGTTAGTCATTTATAGGTTCTTAGGGTCATTTGATATTAATAATTAAAATATGGTGTTAAGTGATTTAAAACTAAAATGAATCAACTTGAGAAAAAAATAAATACTTTTTCCCCCCTAAACTAGTGTGGATTTGGGTTTTTAGCTTGCTAATTGGTGTTGAGCATGGGATTTTGTGTGACTTTCTGGTCATTTCAAATAAAATGGTAAATAAATGTATCACTGCTGTTCAGATTCCATGTGAGCCTGCAGTTGATCCTAGAGCAACTAGACAAGTGTGAGCTTTTTCTTAATAAGTGGTCACATTCTGTTCAGAACTTACCTGCCATAAAATGGGTGACGTCTACATTTTAGGCCAACTGTTTTCATGCTAAATCTGATTATTGAGAGTAGGATTTTCAAGTATAGGGCGGAAATTGCCAAAAGCTGATATACTGAGGAAAAGAAATGCACGAGTTTGTTTGTCTTACCCCTAAGTACTGTCGTTCAGTTTGCCCTGGATCTGCTGCTATATCTTTGGCTGTTTTCCTTCTTGGTTTTCTTTGCTGGTGTTCTGTTTTCCCTAGACATCAGGTTCCTCTTCCCCCTACATCATTTCCCAACTGCACTCCTAACTCCACTCTCTGGGCATTTTCCCTTCCAAGTTGCTAAACAGACTTCCAACTTCTCAAAATAACAAAGGGGATGGGATGGGGTGGGGTGGGGAGATGGCCAAACAGGCAGCCTGGCAAACCTGAAGGTGGGCATCAGGACTTTCTGACTTGGGGAGGGGATCCGCCCACTTTGGGCACTTTGGGTTGAGTGTGTGCATCACACTGTCTTGATCTGGGGGAGAGGGAAGAGAAAAGAATGGCCGCTGTCACCCTGAGATTCACAGAATCTTCGGGTGCACCTGGGGCGCTGCCCCCTGTGTTGGGCCCGCGGGTCCCACCCACCTCTGCCTGGTGATGAGGTTGATGTAGTGTCGCAGCGCTGAGTAGTATCTGGCCATGTCCTCCGCCGGCGCGTCCTCGCCCGGGTTGTCCGGCTTGGAGGGGTACGCCGCGGCCAGCGCCCCCAAGCATACCAGCAGGGCCAGGGCGATGGTCAGTCCGGACAGCCCCAGTCTCCTGTTACCTAGCATCTGCGGGCACAGAAGGCTCAGTGTGTGCGTCGGGGGAGGGGGGGTTGGAGATTCAGAGGAAGCCCACCCTCTCCCGGGGGGGCCCCCTGGCCCTCAGTCCGCTCTCTTCCCAGTCCTGCAGTGGGTAAGAGTTGGGGGCGCCCTAACAGAGGACTAAGGCATCGCCCACCCTGCCCGGCTCCTCTGCTCCACCTGAAATTCCCCCCTCCACTTGGTCCCAACTTTGCCCCAAAGAAGAAATCCATGGCGAGAGGCCGAGGGCGTGGGGGGGGGGGGACCCGCCAGTGCGGACATTTAAAAAACGAACTAGAAGTTCTCTCTGGGATATAGATGGAGATCGCATTTTCTTCCCTGATCTCAGAACCCTTCGTGGAGTCGAAAACTTTCTTGGCAGTCACTTTGGGGCTGCAGGGCTGCAGGGTGGCGGCTGCGATCCCCTGGGAGGGGGGACTGAGAACTGCTCCCATTCGATCTCCCTTCGGATCCCCAAGATCCTGGAGGTGCGGGGGTACCGGGATCCCTCACTCCTGGGCTCCGCCTGGGAAACCTCCCTCCCGCACCGCACACCTCCATCTGAGTTTCTGCGGGAAGATCTGAGGAGATCGCCAGCGGCCCCTCTCCCCGGGGCCCCCAATGTTCCCTCCATAACCCCCCAGAAGTCACCCAGAGGGGCCGCGCAGTCAAGAGAGTCTGAAGATGGACCGACGGACAATCCGAGGGGCAGCCAGAAGTGGCAAGGGGAAAGCGGAGGGCAAGAAGAGCCGGTGGGCGTCAGGTGCACAGAGAAGGGGAGCGGAGCGGGGTGCGAAGCCTCAGGGACCCGCAGCCAGACCCACCTGCGCACCTGCATCTCCCGCCCTGACCCAAGCGGGTCCAGGCACTCACCTCGGCCGGCAGACGGGCGTGGCGGGGCAGCGAGTGCTCGGCGGTGGGGTGAGCCTCTCCGAGGGGTGAGAGCAGGCTGACGGGGTGCAGAGAGCCGGTGGCAGCCGGGCTTTTATGGAGCGCTCGTCGGCGCGGCAGGAGGGGCCTCGGGCAGTCACGCCCGGGTGACTCCCACCCGCCACTTCCCGCCCGCGGAGCGGGGGCTGGAGTCAGAGCCTCACGAACGTACGCCTCGGGAGACACCCACCCCCCACCCCCCCGCGCTGGGCAGGGCGAAGCGGGGCGGGGGACCGCCGCCGCCAGGCAGCGCGCTCCCGGGGCGCTCGTCTAGTCCGGCCCGGTGCGGAGAGGCGCGGCCAGGCGCTCCGAGCGTCTCGGGTCCCCGGGAGAGCAGAACCGGTGCTCCCACCTCCAACTCGGTGGAGCACCTCCCTAACTAACACCCCCGAGGGCACAACTGGGCGCTTCACAGCGGGACTTCTTGGGTTTATGGGGGTTTCCCGCCCTTGATGCAGGTGAGAGGCAGCGCCCCAAAGTCCCGAGTTCCAGGGTCGCGCACACTGCCTGGCTGGGACCTGACCAGAGGATTCTGAATCCAGAAGATGTGGCCACTTTCCTCAGCTGCTTTTTCTAGATCAGATCTCCACCCCCCCTCCACCCGGTCCCCAAAAACCAGACGCAGCAAAGCTGGGTTTATGTCCTGAAAGAGTCAATAGCTCCATACTCCCCGAGGGGTAACACTATCACCCCCACTTTCCAGTTTTCCGGAAAGCACCGCTTTCCCAGGGGCTTGGACCTTTTGGCCCTTAGTGGCGATGGTGAGATGGAAAGCAGTACCTCCCAATCCGCCAGCCCTTCTGAAGTCAATTACTATTGATTCAGGGTGTGGATTCCGACCAAAATGGAACGTGAAAAAACGGCCAATGTTAATTCGTGCGTCTCGGTAAACCTGTAGAAGGAACCTAAAAGAGATATGGATCAATGCCTTTGGAAGTTCGAATCTTTCTCAATAAAATGGTACCCTAGGGTACCATTAAAACATCTTGTTTTAATGTTAAAATGATTGGGTTAAAGGGACACTTGGTTTTTGTGCCGTTCAAACGTTTAACTATCGATTCTGGAAGAGTGGGAAGGAGGGAGGCAGAGACAAAGAGACTATGTGTCTGTGTCTTTGAGTATAATTAAATGATACTTTTTTGAAGACCAGCATCCCTTTGGGCTAGGCAACTGCGCTTTCTGAATCTCATAAACACATGCCACAAACATAAATATTACTGCCATCATGAGCTCTTACATGAGAGCCTTTGGTAAAACCTCGAACTAAGAGCCCCTTCTTCATAAAGAAAAAGGCACAATCCACTTCAATAAAATACTCTTGTATGCTAAGTATATCACAGATTCTTATCAGCTAAAAAAAACTGGACTTAGAAGTCCTTGTATTATTGCTAAGGAGGTGCATCACTTTTGAATAGGAAACACTGGGGGAAAATTGATTAGCTTACTGTATACGAACATTACTGGTACTTAAGAATAAGAAGTTATCCTCAGTGTCCAGCAGTTGCAGAATAAAACCAGGGAGCAAACTGCCTTTTCTCTCTAGTCCAAGCTGCATGGTGCTGCATTGGGCTCTGAATATTGTCTCTCGGGACTTTGTTTAATCAGTTTGCAATTCTCTTGCCTGTAGTTTCCTGTTATCTTCTCGAAGCCTATAAAAATTTGCTTGGGTTTGGAGAAGCAAACCAAACCCAATCCCTCCCCTCAAACAACACCAGCTGTCTCTCAAATCAGCACTTCCTAGCAGTGACGTCATTCTTTTTGCTTCAAGTTTATTTGTTTGTTAATAAGTTATTTCTTTACAAAAGATTTGTGAGATCCCATTAAAATACACTAAAATACAAATGTTTAACACTTGTAGCTGCATATATTCTTGTATGTGGATGTATATGGTGGGTAAATATGAATATGTCTATGTTATGACAAGCTATCACCAACTCAAGACAATGAATATAATATGTACAATACCCACCAAAATTTCCAAGTGTACCTTTGAAATTCCTTCTTCCTGCCTCTACCCACCTCCTTCCTCTACTGATCTGCTTCCTGCTACGACAGACTTACTTGACTTATCCAAAATTGTGCCAATTATAATTCCACAATGAGTCCTCTTGGTTTTCCTTCTTTCACTCAGCTTCGTTTCATTTAGATCGAGTCGTCAAAGCATAGATCGACAACTCTTTCTTTTTATTGCAGGGAGGTTTTCTATTATGATATGACATGACTCAATTTTTTTATAAATGATTTAGGTGCTTACACACTTGGGACTGTTTCCAGATTGGACTGTTATGAATAAACATTCATTTATAAGTCATCATATAGACTTAAGCTTTTGTTTCTGGTAAAAAAAATTCTTAAGAGCAGAATGCCTACATCATATATTGATTGAGTGTATATTATCTCATAGCTCATCAGTGTTCTGTTTTTGTTTAGCTCTTTTGTTTTCCTGTGGTTTTTAGTTTGTTTGTTTTCAGTACCAGAGTTTGGAATTAGGGCCTCTTGCTGTACCATTTGAGCCATACCTCAAGTCATGCCTTTTGCTTGTTATTTTAGAGATGGAGTCTCGTGGACTTTCCTGCTTCAATCAGAGATCCTCTGGATCTCAGCTTCCTCAGTAGCTAAGATTGCAGGTGGGAGCCACTGGAGCCCAGCTTTGGGATATCTTGTAATGCTGTGTCTTTGAGTTCACTAATCATTGCTGCTATAGGATATGGCCACTATCAATCTTATCCAATGATTTTACGCTTCAGACAAGCAATTTTCATCTTTAGAATTCCAGTGTACGTGTTCCATGTTTGAACATAAATATGTTACACTAGCTTTTGAATGTTATTGTTGTTGTTTTATTTTATTTTATTTTTATTTTTTGTGAACATACTGTACAGAGGGGTTACAATTACATGGGCAAGATAATGAGTACATTTCTTATCAAGCATTGCAGCCTCCTCCTTTATTTACCCTTCACATCCCTTCCCAGCCTCCCCCCGGCCCCCTTGTTGTTGTTATTGTTATTATTATTGTTTGTTTTGAGACATGGTCTTGCCATATAACTCAGGCTGGCCTCAAACTCACCATCTTCCTGGCTTAGCTCTTAAATGCTGAGATTACAGACATGTACCAACATGCCCAGCTGAAGATAGATCACTAATAATAACTATTATCTAAATAATCTGGACCGATTGATTTTTCTCCACAGACAGTTTACATTTTTTTCTTTTTCTCTGTGTGTGCCTCATAATTTTCGATAGGATGTCAGACATTGTGAATTTAACCTTATTGTATGTTGGATTTTTTTTGGGGGGGGGCGGTCATGGGGCTGGAACTCTGGGCCTAGGCACTATCCTTCAGCAATTCAGCTCAAGGCAAGTGCTCTATCACTTGAGCCACAGTGCCACTTCCAGTTTTCTGGTGGTTATTTGGGGATAAGAATCTCACAGACTTTCGTGCCTGGGTTGGCTTTGAACCACAATCCTCAGATCTCAGACTCCTGCGTAGCTTGGATTACAGGTGTGAGCCACTGGTTCCGAGCTGTTGGAATTTTTTTTTGTATCCTTATAAAATTCTTCTGTTTCTTTTTTCCCTAGGACATAGTTAAAAGCTTGGAAGTAGTTCTGTCCATTTAGATCTTATTTTCTTAGGTGAGTTAGTCTCAGCTTTGTGAGGCGGTTCCCAAACTGGCTTTTGTCTTGATATATTCATCCGAAAAATACCTGTATGCAGCTGAATTATAACTGAATTTTAGAGGGGCCTGCTCTAATTTAGAATGTGGACTCGAAAATTAGAACCTATGTACTACCTCATTAGTAAGTGATTTTGCAAATGAAGTTTTGTTTTGCTTTTCTTTTGGTCCTGGTTGTGGGGCTTGAACTTAGGGCCTGAGCACTATCCCTGAGCCTTTTCCACTCAAGACTAATGCTCTACCACTTTGAGCCACAGCTCCACTTCTGGCTTTCTGGTAGTTACTTAGAGATAAGAGTCTCATGAGCTTTCCTTCCCAGGCTGACTTCCAACTGTGATCCTAAGGTCTTAAACTCCTATGTAGTTAGGATTACAGGTATAAGCCACTGACTGGTGCCTAGCATTTTCAGTCTTTTAAAAAATATGTATCATTTGTTACACATTCAGACATTTCTAACTGTCTCCATTGTATGATTATATCATGACTTATTTTACCATCTCCTTTCAGTGGCCATGTTGGTTGTTTCTAGTCTGGTGCTATTATATGATACAAAACTAATAGTTTTTTAAATGTATAATTTCTTATGTGACAGATATAACTGTAGGAAGATTTCTCAGAACTAGTATTGTGAATTCAAAAGTGATTTGTAAATCTTGCATACTGGGGATTGAACTCAGGGTCCTGTGTTTGCTAGACAGACACCTGTACCACTTGGGCCACCCTCTAGTCCTTTGGGCTTTAGGAAATTTTCAGATGGGCCTAAAAATATCCTTTTCCCAAGGAGGACCTCAGATCCAGTCCTGCCAATGTAGTCAGAGTCCAGAGGTGTACCACCATGTCCAACTTGTTGAAATAGGATCTTACTAACTTGATCTGAGCTGGCCTCTAATACAACCCTCCCAATCTGACTTTCCAAGTAGTTGGGATTATAAGCATGCACCACCACACCAACTGAAATACAGGTCAATCTTATAAGTAGTTGCAAGTTGCTCTACATCTCTATGAAATCTGACTCCCTCTCATAGTTTAAAGTAACCATCTGATCACACCAGAGTGTGATCAGAGTTTGGTTTCCATCCATCTGATAGCTAAAAATGAGATATCTCAGAGCCCTTTAGATTTTATTCCATAATTTCCCCCTTGGTTTGGGGATGCCATTTTTAGCCTAAACTGTAAACATCCTTCAGAGTGTGTGTACTTTTTTTTATCCCATTGCCCTGTCTGGCTGTACAGTCAAGTTCCATTGCTTAAGTAAAATGGGTGAACAACTATCTTTGCTCAGTACTTCCACCAGAGGTACTGAGCATCACTCTTTTCTCAGGGTTCTTGATATACTACTGTGGTTTT